GGTGAATAGGCTCTGGTGTCTAAATGTTTTGCTTTTCATTCAAAATTTGACTGGGATTCAGAATACTCCAACTCCTTTACTGAGAGTATCTATTTGTGCGAAGATGTTACCTCAGCTCTATGAAGACGCTTTATTTCTCTTTTCATCAGGTTTCTCATATATTGCAGGGCTTCATCCCAAGTACGAATTTTTTTGTAGATTTCTTGATAGCACCCAAAGAGTCAATTGAGTTCAGTCAAATGGGAGCAAGTCTAACTGAATGCACTGCGTTTTTTGTGAGCCTTGTGGCGCACGAGGCGTGCTCTGCAGCGGATGAGAAAATGATGGATGGGACAGAATCACCCAGCATTTCTAATGTTTTTTCACATACCTGCTCAGTGGTATTACATTCAGCATCAGTTTTCAACGCCCTCTGTATGTTGGGGAGTACTATGGGTAGTGACTGAGTGCATTGTGCATTATTTTCTACTTATAATCCATCTTTCCACGGTCTGCTAGATCCATTGTTTGAGGATGATAGCCCTTTGTTCTGAAACGCATACAGTCTGGAATTTCATCCAAAGTTGGGCACAGGCCGCTTTCGAATATTCACCCACAGCTAGTCATCTTGAGTATGGGCATCCGAAATTTGCGATTCATCTTTCCACACAAACATGTGACGTTGTTTCAGCAGGTACGTCTTAGGGGGATGCTGCTCCCAGCCACCAGGCACTACGGTAAGTGCAAGTCAAGAGATGCATTTAATCAAAGGTGACTTGGAGAGCTTCAAGACCAGCATGAACGTGTTCGAAGAGGGCATCTGGGTTATAAAAAGTGCCGGGGCAGCTTCTGGTGTGACTTATTACTTTGCCCCTTGGCAATTTAATCAAGCGAGAGCTTAAAGCCCTACCTCCTTCCTATATAACAGGTCAACAAAGTCGACTGGTGATAAACTTGATGGTAGTTCGGCTTTGCGCCTAACGCACTGAAGAGTTTACAAAGGAAACTCTTAGACAAAATAGTTCAAGGAATGCTGGTGGGAGTATCACGAAGAATAGTGTCCTTACCCGTACAAAACAATATCGAAGTCGATCGTAGAGTTGCCGTCGATAACTCTTTTTGAAGCTCGGAGTTCCTTTTTAGAAGACGAGCCAGTTTCACAAGGTCTATGTCATATACTTAAACAAATGAACAGATACACGACAAAGCATTTTCGACACCATTGTTGACATCGGACAAATATCCAAGGTAAACCGTGAAACTCTAACCATCTAGCACAAAGTCTTTGCTGAATACCGACCTGCTGTTGAGTTTAAAGAGTACATGAACGATTTGTGGCATGTGAAAATGATAAATTCACAACCCCCTACAGTGAACGTCAAAAACGGTGTGTAACAAAATCATAAGTTCCTTGACTAACGTACTGTACTAACTTTTCGTTGTTTGCTGCCGCCTTTAGGGATTACAGGTGGCTGTCATTTCTTGTTGACTGGTTACTGCAGAACTACACCGACTGTAATGTTAAATGGATCAGCCAGTTCGCTCAAGGGTGCCATTGAATCCTGATACAGGTTTAATTTTGACCAAGACGCCCAAAGTGGGGAAGTAGAGACTGACATCACGTTGAAATGGACTACGTTATCACCTGATAAAAATGCGGTGGCTCTCTGACCTGAAAATTCGCTTGAAAAGTTACATAACTCTGTCGTTTTGGACTTACTACAAGAAGACCTTAACTAATCGAACGAAATTCAATGACCGGTTGCCATGATACTTCCAGGATTCTGCCAGCCAAACAAACTAAATTACCGACTTCGACTTCTTTGAGTGTCACAAGCACAATCTGCACTGGGTACAGTGATTTGGGCAGGAACAACCCTCTAAAGAGTCCTTCACCGAATTCTCATTGGTCGACTTCAACAATTTGTGAAGGCATTTGTACGGACGAAGCACTCTTTAGGTCGATTCTACGGCAGAGTTCAGCGAGATGTTGGCGATCTGAAGGAACGTTTCTCTTAAGAACTGGAGTTTTGAGGACCTCGCGGGGGTTACTTACCTCTGGAGTGGACGAAAATTATGTGTGCGTTTCCAGTCGCGGAGCATGTATAACCGCCAGAAATCGCGAACACCAATCTTTTACTTCATGGAAGTTGGCTAAATTGTACAGAGACCATTTTCTTACATATTCTATCCAAATGAGTACCGACTGACTGGAAATGCCAGTCGATCGGATGTGTAAAAACTTTGGTATCTGGTCACACATCGTAAATAATTCTAATGTTAATATATGATGATGAAAACCGGTTGACAAACGCTAAATAAAACGGAATCACTGACGGAGACTGGTATCTGTTTTCGTGTTCTTAAGTTTCGAAAATGAATTTCGTTGACATAAGGGGATGTTGCTAATTACGCAAAAAATTTGCATGCAAACGTAATTTCTTATCCAGTAACTACTAAAGTATTTGTTCTGCATAGACCGAAGAATAATTGAAACATCTGTCCGGCCACTCAAAGTAAGGGATGTATTTCCCAATCAGGAACGTTGAGCGATGATGACTGCTCAACTAGCTAGAGACCTCACAAAAATGCAACACGGCAGCGTTTCGAATGGAGTAAATGCTTTATCATATACCGTCAGCGTAACAGGTGGACTTAAATAGTGAAGGTCGGTACCTAGTGTCGGGTGATAAATGCCGTAGACTGACAATTTTGGAGAATCATTTACCACCATACAATCTTCGCTCACTCTTAGAACTCATCTTGCACTAGTGAATGGTAATTCAGTGGCCAAGACATTGGTACCATATGTTGTTTCACTCACTGAAAGTTGACCTTACCGCAGTGGCGTCGAGGAGAAGAGTCATCCTCGACTAAATATTCCCCAGACACCAGGCAGCACACCACAACAATATCTACTGATAGTTCTGTTTGTACGTTCTGTATGGGTGTGATGTCATTTGTGACAAACCAATGTACCCAGGTTGGTCTGACTTCAAATCTAGATGTCACTCTTCTATCGGTTTCATAGAAACCATTAAACTTGATGGCATTCAGTAAATCTCCACTGAGGCCCCTTTTTTCGATGTTCCTTACTCCTCCTGAGTGATGCGTATTTATTATTTTAATCATCTCAATTCGTACTTGGAATATTTTGGAATTTATATCGTAAACGTGGGAAATTCCTCTAGTTAATTTTGCTTTAATTTTTAATTTTATTTATATTTTAAGTAAATCACATGCAATATTGTGACAAATGCTGAGAATTCCATTCTGTATTATAAGTACTGATTTTGGGATAAAGCAAATTATTATTATTATTATTAGATCATCAAACACATTGACATGACCAAAATCGTTGCGATTACACTGACAAATGGTTGCTTTTGCCCCACCTCCCTTTGCTGGGTTCCATATACTCCTTCAGCTAGAATTTCAGTGTTGTTTATAGCCATGAAACATCAGAATGACCCCATGATTTCAGTCAGCGTATCTACACTCTCGAAACAGGGGAGGAAATCAGTGCTCATGTATATTGCAGCTTCTTCTCCAAACCTTCATTCCTCGTCTTCTCTGTTCAGCGTCATCCTACTGATTGAAATTTCATTGTTTTAGATTCTAAGACTGTCGTGTTTCTAGCAGAATGAAGGCTGGAGGTGTGAATTGCGAAAACGAACACCTGAACTCAGTTATCTTGCCTTTGAGACCACTGACATCCTTGAAAAAGTATTCTGTAATTTTCCTCAGCGCAAAGTTCTTCAGATCAATGGTTTTGTTTTAAAGAGCATCTAGCACGAGACAGTACTTCGCGATTTTTCAGACATCTGTTCGTCGTTACGATCGAATCCCTACTGCTTCATAGCCACAGATGTTTACATTTGAAACCTTGATTCCCTCGGCTTTTGACATAGAGCTATGGGAATGAACTAGAAGCATCGAATGTTGCCACTGATATTGTAACTGGACGTATGCTATTTTGATTTCCGATTAATCAGGCTCGGGCAGATGCAGTAGGCGGGTTAGCCTGCTTCCTATAGCTGCTATAACGCATCTCAGTTCTGTTGACAGCTACTTTCACTGCGACATGATGTCGTTGCCTGTAACACACATTTCTACTTGTCAGCTCCGGCATACTGTCAGTGGCCACGCTTATGAGTTCGACCTCATCCTTTGCTTGGTGAGGTGATTGTCCCATGGTTCATATTTTGCAGGTCCAGAAGTTGACTCAGCTCTTCACTAGCGAAGATTATGCAAAAGGAATTCGAGGTTTGTAGAACCATGAGAATGCAACCATTTTCACAAGACAGCCGCGTCTCTGGTGCAGGCTATAAGCTTAAGGATGTTGAATATGCCTTCCTGTAGCATTTTGCTTTTATTCTTCCTGCTTCTTACATCAACAGCTTTATTACGGCAGTTGAAAGGAAATACAATCTCTGTCTCGATACGGTGTGGAATGCTTCTGATTTTCACGTAACGCTCTTAAATATATGGCGTTGGTTAATCGTGATGAGGCATATTTTTTGAGAAAATCCCCAAGGCATTTTATGCAGTCGTCTCTAAAGCTGAACCTAGTTACCAGTGCGTCCGATATCTCTGAAAATCCTCAAGCGTTTTGAGTATGAACCTATATTTTCATTCATCCGTTTAGCCAGAGAGCGGGCTTTCTGTGACCATGGAGTGCTGTGTTGTCATTTAAGCCAGAATAACTGTTACCAGTTTCTGAATAAATGTAGCCAGTTCGCCAATGTTTGTCCTCGTCATTGTTACTTTTTAATTGTTAGATGTTACTCCAAATAAGTATGTGTGGTAGCCGGGCGCAGTGTGACAATAATTGCTTTAGTGTTGTTCTGCATTTTGAAGGTCAAACAGATTACATGATTTCTGTAAACGTGATGAAATGAAGGAGAAATTCTTGTGAAAATTACGCTCCGATGCTCAAACTTCTATTTCATCAGAGTATAACACAAAAAATCTTGTCGATTTGGTATCACAATATTTAGGAAGAATTTGTTTAAATCATTCAGAAATGAGACTCGCCTGTTGTGTAAACAATTCGCTTAGTCAGAGCGGGAGGGTTTTGTCATATTCTTTCTTCGCATTTGAAGTTCTTTTGTATATTTACAAGTATTATAACTTTGATTTTGGATCAGGTGCCTTCGTAGAAGAGCTACTCATTCTATTAGGCTGGTCAGTTTCAGACTTAGGAAAGTACTTTTTCTGCTGTTTATTTTCTGATTCTGCTTGTTTCTCTAAGTCAGCCTGCATTTCTGGCCTATTCTTTTACGTACCATCTGTCTTAGGGGTAATTTTCTTCCTTTTTTGGCAGTCTTTCGTACTTCGCCTCGAAATAATAACTTGCATTGCTATCTTGTGTTTTAACTGTTTGCATTTGCTAACATACCTTCTACTTATTGCTAGTAAACATAAATCTAAACTGTTGTAACCTTGAATACTTTTCAGAGTGATTCATCTTCCAACTATGTCCTCACTATGTATGTTTTCACAACCCAGTGTTGATTGTGATCAGTTTTCTTCTTATACTTTAGTTTTGGCGTGTGTCGGTGTGGGTAATGTAGCTCAGCTGTCATGTGATCTGTTAATTCACAACCTAAAGTGTGATTTTGTCAGTAGTCTGAACTTTAAGTACTGTCCATCTGTCATCGGTCTGGATTTCAATGGACACATAAATTCAGAATCCAATTTAATGACGTCTTCAGAGGTATGGAATTTTAACTAGATCATATATGTTATATATGTCCAAACGAAGTTCACTTTTAACAGTTTGGAAAAATTTGTGCATTGGGTATATGATATTCATTATAATAAAGGTTTTTGTACATCCCAATGAATGAAAAACAAAACGATATTGTTTTTGTGTCTTTTTATATAATATTTATAGCCTCAGAAATCTGAAACTCTCTCCTTTGCAGAAAAATTTTTTGTATCACTATGTCTGCACTGTTTATGAATAATGCTGTATGAAGCGACGATAATTCCCCTTTCATGGTAGCAACTATACGGAGATGCTAAAGAATTACAGTAAACCAAGACTCAGTTTCTGCCATTGCAGCCGGCTAAGCAACTGCCTTTGAACCTGTACTATAAACTGAAATCGACATACGTATTTAATGATAAGTTTTCTGATATACCCACGTAACAGACCTCATGTTGTACACGTAAGACGTGCATGAGTGAAATATCTACTAATTTCACCTACGTCGGAGAAAGTGCTAATCAACAGCAGCACTAGGTGCATTGTTGTGTAAGGAACGTATTTCAGTCGATGGAAATGTGAATTTTCATCTGTTGATATGGAGTCATGTTTAGTCAAATCAAAACCACATCAGTTTTGTTCTTCGTTACTACTATCCCTTTGTCTCACACCTCTGTTTACTGTCTTTATTATGCATTTCTTCTCGTGCTCTGTGTGCTACATGGTGTGGTGACTTGAACTGTCGCACATATGTGCAAAGTTCTATGTCGAAAACAGACAGATAAACATCAGTGCATTAAGATATTGATTGTAGCCCTGATCTGCTCAAGGAGCTGTGGGTTGCAAGGGCATAGCCATCAAGATACTAAGAATATAGGTTGGTGACTTAAATTAAGTCTTGATAACGGCGAACACCAGTGGTGTTCATTAATGTGCTGTCTTCCAAAGAAGTTTTGTTATTAAACCACCTGGCCATTGTGACCAGGGTAGTAAGGCTACACGTTTCTAGTTTTCACTACGATACCTTAAAGTGGGAAGTCTAGTTGCCTCTTATTCAGATATAAAGCAAGGGCTTGTTCGTTCGTTTTTTCATCACTTCTTTCAGCTTGAAGGTAAAGTTGGAAATTAGCTTTTCAGTATCTGGTAACTTCATATTTGCCACCTGAACTATTTTTTCTCTGTCTAAATTTTTTTGAAGCTCTACGCTAATCCTACACTCAAACTGGCCGTTTTACAAGTTCGGGCTCCTCCATTCTCTGGTTGTAAGTGGAAGTATGTCAAAGAACTAATTCTTTTTCTGAAAAGTGTCAAGTTCAAGACTGTCGTCTTGTTGTCCAGTAGTTTTGCTACTGTACTTAAGGTAAGCTCATCCTGTTGTGTTTATAGAGATGAAGTACATAGAGAAGTTGTTAAACATCCCTACCTTCTAGTGAACCCATTCTGTATTATTATGGTTATAAACATTGAATTATGGCGTGACAGTTTACTCATAGCGTAAAGTCTTAACAGCTGGATAAAGTGTATCTCTTTAGCCTAACTTTTGCTAGGAGACTTAATGGTGTGACAGTGGAACGCTATCCATAGTGATTTAGTTTTTCCTAGAATGCTCATAAACCATAGGCGTGAGCTAACTTCAAGCCACTCGCGTAAACGAAAACGTCCAAATTACCTTGCAGTCAACACTCAGACTGCATGTGTTAAGGTGACACTTGTACTGTATCTCACAGCCACCCAATGCACGTAATAAATAACGCATGTAACAGTGTAGAGGCATCGACTGTTGTGTGTAGGACTTCGCAGTTTCCTCTCATTCTTAATGACTTCATTTGATGAAGTGTATCTCCTTTCAGAATACTTTCCATTCGTAATCGACATGCTTCACATCAATTTTAACGAGACGTTGTTTAATTTCGTTAACCTCATCTATGCTAGAAGCATTTTTTTTCTCACCGCGAAGATGCTCAGTTTCGATTGATAACTTGTTATTCCCCATTATAGATAAGATTTCATTTTGATTAGTCACACCGTGTTACACAGTAATATTAACTGATGACGTTTCGAGCACAAATTATTGCTCATAATCATTTCAAGCTACTCATACAATGAGCAATAATTTTTGCTCGAAACGTCATCAGTTAATATTACTGTGTGACTTATCAAAATAAAATCTTATCTATAATGGAGTTATACTCCACCACAGTGCCCAAGTTTTATACTTATATCAATTGTTACTTCCCCCTTCAGGATAAAGAACTAAGTGCCGCACCACTGCAGTACACTGTCTCTACCTCATTCAGTGCAACCGATCGCAAAACTCTTGAAGAATTGGGTTGGCACCCCCTCAGAATACACGATGAACAACTAGATTACGAACTGTCTACTGTGAGTCACCTACCGGGCTGTGGAGTTGCCAATTCTTTATTTGAAAAATTGAATAAGTGTTGCGATACACCTGTATGTTTGCTGAATTTTTTCACATCTGAAGGCGACAACAGTGGTGATGCACTTTACGTTGTGTGTTATTTAGACAATTGGTTGCAGCTTACTGCACAATTGAGTGGTAACAAGACAAGTTTTCGTTGGACTCCCCCACCCTCCTGGAACTTTTTATTTGGAGACGATCCTATTAACGCTTTATACTAACTTTTTATACATTTTCAATTATATTTTTTTGAATAAATAACCACCGTTACTTCTGTTGAGCCATTTCAGGATAATAAAGCGATTTTACTGATTACTATTTTTATGTTTTATTTTCATACATCCATACAAGTGATCATCTCTATGTACATTTTCCATGTTTAAAGTTGCCAAATAATAAGATCCTCACAGGAATTGGGTTGCGAACAATCTGATTAATTGTTGCTCACATTGTTTCGAGGCTATTTTCGTTGTTATGTATAACATGAATCTCTAACCTAGATTTTGTGTGATATATACTTCCATCATCGTACAAATTGATATCCTGTTCAAGTTACGAAACAGAATCACCTATTGCTGTAGTCAGAGACGTTACGGCTGAGTTTTTCAATCCTATTGCATCCAGCCACCGAACTTACACTTATTTGGAGCTCAACTGATAGAATTCAGTCAGCACAAGCATTGAGAGTTAGTCACTTGACCCTCGTCACACCATTCCGACCAATCTTATTAAGACGCAAATCGTGTGTTCATTCGATAATTTCAATCCTGTAGATAAAAAAATGGTGGTCACCTTCAGAAGCCATCTATGTACATGCAAACTAATACGTAGTATTTATAATATATGACTAGCACATAGAAATCTAGTTAAGCTTCAGACACTATCACTAAACCAGCTGAATGTAGTCCAATACGTAAGATCGTGCTGGTGTGTTTCTTGTTTGCACAAGTCAGTGATGTGTTCTGACATTTTTGTTCATTTTTCAGTTAAATGGTCACTGGCTTGGATACAATAAGACTCCTCCAATCATATGAGAAAAGTATTATTGGTAGTGAAGTAACCGAATAGAAATTCTAGAATCACGCAGTTTCTCCACACTATTGTGTATGTAAAGTTCGCTGGTGTAAGTGTACATCAGCTGCCAGAAGACCTGAAATTGTTAGGAGTGGGTAGTTAATAACGTTTTCAAGTTACATGTATAAATTCAGTATTACGTTCGTAATTAGAGTGTGCTGTTAGGTTTTCGCTGTCCATGAAGAACTTAATAAAATCCTCTATATGCTTTTAACCGAGGAAACCCTTGATCTTTTATCTGTCATTATACCACTAACGTAGATAGTGCATAAAATTCGCTGCGAATTTAAATGAGAGCATTTAGATAACTTAGGTCCCACTAGATGGAACTTGTAGTATTGCTTTTATCCTTGATAAGTTTCATCATATTGTATTGAGTGGATGCTCTCATTTCATTGTGTATGTAATATATCTCCATGGCTCTAAAACTGGGTAAAGTAGGATATTACGCCTATTATGTGTACATTTTATACTAGTGAGAGTTTGAAGATCACTAGTATTATTATGAAGGAAAAACACAATTTTTTGTTCAGCGAACATGCATTTCTTTTCAGCAACTTCATTTTCAGGCTGTACAGTCTTATTTACTCGATCAGTTTGCACATTATAAGAGTAAATATAATTAATGTTACGTTTGAGAGGGTAGAGTTGAAGTGGGTGGATTATGAAATTCTAAAAGAATGAATTTGGTGAATTGATATTAAGATTTTAAAAGTAGGCTGCACTGTCCAAAAAATTCAAAATGAGATGATAACGGTAAAGAAAACCGAGGTAAAATGAAGTAGAATAAATTCAAATGATAAAATAAAAACGACATCTTTATCACCAAGGTAAACAAAGGGATTTACAAAACGTTTTTGAGTTCATAGTGTAGGTTTTGCTCATGTATAAGTGGAGAAAAGAAACTTTTGGAGTAACTGAATTTGGACCTGGAAATAAGTCTAAAAGTAAAAAGCATGAGGCTGAATGACGTGTTTCCAGAAAGTCTCCACAAGATAACAGACTTCGTCATCCTTTACTGGCATTTCATCAACCTAACAAGTTAGTGTTTCGTTACGCTTTCCCAGAGAACACGCTTACAAAGTTCAATGCCATCAGCTCCACAGGAGCGTGTAAGAGATTAGAGACACACACAAGCTGTAGTTTCTCCTTGATACGTTATCAAATCATAATTCGGTTGGAGAATATTAACTGTGAATCAGCGGCACATAAAGGGTATTAAATACATTTGTTTAGACGACTTTCAATCACTTCAGCAGCAGTATCACGTTTGAACGCGAAACTCGTAAACAGTGTCTTTTTTAGCGCTATGGTTGGACCAGGAGCAGTTTCTTTCTTCATGTTCCTTTCAGTAAGCCTTCTAGGATATCCTTTACTTAAGAGTATTGCACGAAGGTTTTCTAGTTCTATAGTATCCATAGAGCAAATCTTCCAAATTCTGGAGCACAAACAACAGATTAGATTTTCCTTTCTATCTAGAGGTACCCAACTACTGAGGTAAGTGTTCCGCTCAGTAAAGGCAGAATTTCGGCAGATTGACGTTTTCAGTGTTCTATCCTGCCTTCTGTTTTGCATAACATCTAAAAAGTGGAATTCTACTCTTCTTCAATATGTATTCATAATAATTGCTGTGTTTAAAATATTTTTGCTGAATATGACTAGCTTTATATTTTTTTGTGTTTGGTTTTTTAGTCTCTGCTAATGAATCTTCAGCTTTGATTAAAATATATGTACATTGACCAGCTCTTCACTGCTTTCAAGTAATCTCATTTTTACAAAGTAGTGAAAAGTATGCACAACACTTTGGAACGTGTGACTTCAGTAATGTTTGTAGAATGGTGGTCGTCATCATTTCTGAAAGGAATTCTATTTAATTTCTTTATACAATCTACCCAGAGGAAAACAACCGTGATTCCTTAAGGTTTTATGGGCGTACAGCAGAACTATTTTCAAGAAAGTATCATATGCATAATTCGTTACTATCTTAATATAACTCAGATGACTCCTTCAGTTAGAACAGCGACTGTTGATAAACGTGTTAAGAGGATCACTGAATTTTAAACAAGTCACTGTTTTTTCCTGCCTACCTAAGATAATCATCTTTACGACTATCGTTAGATAGTGAACTTGTCGGCGAAAATTGACTTTAAGATTTTAGCATCCATTACATACTAATGAACATAAGGCAGTACAATAAGGAATTAATCCAATTATCTACCCTACTACGTTATCTTATAAACGGGCGACTATTTTCTCTAGTTCTAACCACAAGGTTCATTACACCTGCACAATTAAATCTATATAATATTCCCATACTAACTTTTCTGATGATGTTAAAAATGCAGTGACGGTAAATGTTGTCTTGGTGATACCTTGAAGTCTAAGAGCATTTCAAACATAACATTATGAACATGTCAAACCGTAGACACAATCGTAATTTACCAATACAGATGAAAATTCAAGAGGACGTTGAAAGCCACTCACTCCGAAGTTACCAGAATTAATAAGTATTTAGTTGAAAGAATAAAGTTAATTTGCCAGAAATATTAGATTCCTGTATCAATCCAGAATAACATTTGTAGTAGTTGGAACAGTCCGCTTGGTATAACTGTTAAGCACTAACGTTGACCCAAAGAAACTGTAATGAAATTTCATCTCGGAATGCGTTATTTGTGGATGACCAATTCACTACATATCTATTTTCCTTGTTTATTATGTTCAGGGATATTTGTCAACATTGTCGGCCTTGTTTCTTTTTCCTTCATTACTATTTTTGATTGAATTTCTTTTGGAAATAATCCTGTTTTTGAACAAAGAAACATTTTCGCAGAGTAATCTGGATCCATTTTATTTCGTCGGTTCACATCATCTGCGTACAACCTCAATTCTTTAATAAAATAAAAAAAGTGTACAATTTTATTTTATTAAAGAAATGAGGTTGTACGCAGATGATGTGAACCGACGAAATAAAATGGATCCAGATTACTCTACCACAATGTTTCTTCTTTCTTTGTTCAAATTTATAAAAGGGAATCATTGTATGAAATCCTGTTTTATTATTGTATCATTTTGAACAGCGGTTTGTGCAGTATGGAATGGTGCCATCATTTATTCCGTTGGTTTCTCTTCGACTGAGTAGAATCTAGAAAGTAAACTAAGTGTATATACACAGGAATATTAACATATTCAAAAAAGTGATGTGATGTCAGTTAACAGGAGACTTCTAAATTATAAGCATTGCTCAGAAATTACATTTATATTTCTTGTAAACAGAAGTTTCGAGTTTAAACAAAAACAAAATCAGAAAACTATCATAAATGTTTGGATACGATGGAAAAGAAACTGCACAATAAATACAAAAGATTAGTAAGATGATAGGTAACTAAACAGTTGCTGAGTGATGTGACAAGTTCAACTCAAATCATAGAAATGAAATCACAATATGGCGAGAGGAGGAAAGATTAAAGCTAGGGAAGGAAGTGTGAAGAATTTGTGTCAACAGGGCACTGAAAGACTTATAGGTGCTTCTTTCTGAACACACAGTGTTCGATAACGACTTCTTCTGCAATACTGAATCATATTGTTTATTGATAGTCGTAAATGATTTCGGGCTGTCCATCACAGGACCCATATCGACGGGATGTCCAGCAATAGCACCCTTGAACGCGTTTTAACCCTGAGACGTAGACGTTTTGTCACATGTTCAAAGAATCAAAGTAGAGATTTTCCTGATCTTCCGATGCAACTGCTGCTGAAGATGCATGCAAATTCGTATACATAGCTACAGTTAACATGGAAAGGCTATCTGTCAATTTTTGATTCCATCAAAATATATACTGCTCGATAAACGGTAATCAACTTTGATGCAGAGTAGGTTCCGGCTTGTAAAGTATTCAATCTCCTGCTGAAGATTCCTGCAATCAGGTTGCACGAATATAGGCCTCTTGTTCACTGATTTGCTTTGCAGTTAAATCTTCAGATTTTTGGTGCTTGTCAGTAGATTTCTGAGGGTAACCACTATTTTTCAACATCTCAAGATCCAGAAATTCTTCTAATTTCTCAGTACAGCATTTTCGCTTGACTTTGTAAAGCAGAGTTTTGACCAATACTCGTTTATAGCTAATCGGACAAAACTGCTGAGGTGTAAGTATCGTACTGTTCACGTAGACTTCCGCTGAATGGATCTTTGAAGACTGCCATCTCCCAAGCATAGCATAGAGATACCAAAAAAAACGAAACACCTCATTACTTTCATATGCCATAGTAAAGTTAATAATTCTATTTGCGTCATTGAATATTCTGAGTA